TAATTTTGATCTATCTACTTCTTTGCATCTTTTTAAAGTTAAGCCGAAAAATCTTTTTCTCTCCCGTATTATCAAAATTTGACAATAATATTTATATTATGGAAATATTTATTAAACTTTATTATCTATACTACAAAGTGATATATGTATGTATATTTTATTTTTATTTTGTTGTACTTATAGTTACTTTATAACCTAATATTTTGTTTACACTAGTATAAGGTTCTGACGATAAGATCTTACTGATCTTCTTTCAGATGCCAAGTTTTTCAAATGTTAGTAGTATTTGCTTACTTTATAATTTGTATTAGTTTTTTTTATTTACTCTCATTATATTGTAAAAACGAACTAACAAATGTAAACTAAAATGCTTGAAAAAAAAAAAAATTCTTTAATAGTCGCAACAATTATTTTTTATAAAAAGTAGTGTTGTTACGACTAGTCGTAACAACACTACTTAATAGTCGTAACAATTATTTGTTATAAAAAGTAGTGTTGTTACGACTAGTCGTAAGTACGTAAGTCGTAAGTCGTAAGTCGTAAGTCGTAAGTCGTAAGTCGTAAGTCGTAAGTCGTAAGTCGTAAGTCGTAAGTCGTAAGTCGTAACAACACTTCGTTTTATAAAAGTTTAAAATAGTATGTATAGTTTTAAAGCATAAAAGTGTAATATTAGTAATAGCGTATAAAATTTTATAAAAGTTATAAAAAATAAACCTTATTACATAGGTCTTATATACTTTTATATCTATATCTTGTTTATAAATTTTAAGACCTAAGTCTTATTACTTTCATAAATTTTAAAAGTTAAAACATAATTTAAATTTATATAAGTTTTAAAATTATATATATTAAAATTATGTTGAGGGATCGTCCATAAAGTACGTTCGATCGGATGGGAGAGAGAGAACCTGCAAATAATGATGAGAACCTGCATATGAGATGGGATCATTTTTAAAAGTAAGGAGAATTTAAAAAAATGTCATAAAATATTGGATAGGTAGGTAAAAAGCTTATGTACTTTTGAGGATTTAAAGGGTACTCAAAAAAGTGAATAGCAAAATGCGGGGAGGGGGAGGTCACAATAAAAGCGTACGTACTTTATGGAAGACCCCTAACTAAATAAAAGAAACTATTAGCAAAATATAAACGTTTAATATACGTTTAATTAGAATAAGTCTAAACGCTTTATATACGTTTATTAGACTAGATCTAAACATAAATTAGACAAAATATAGACGCTTTCTATACGTATAATAACCCTATGATTGATATACCCTATAGTTTCATTGTATAATCTCTCAGCGTTCAAAAATTATGACTATATAAAATTTTTGACTACCTAAATTGAGGGGGATTCAAACTTTGTAAGGTCATAATTTTTGAACGTTTAGTGATTATTTAGTGATTAGTGATTATTTAGTGATTAGTGATTATTTTATCAAACTTTAAATTTATTGATGAAAATATTTTATTAACGTCATACAGTGTGCGATTTTTTGAACTAAACTTTTTGAATTAAGACACGATTTGGTTGAATTACAATTTTATACATTATGTACCTATTTTTCATCAATTACCCTTAGTGAAAAGGTGACTAAGCCACATTATATTTTCTGTAAATTGGAAGGGACTTAAAGGATCATATAAAAAATAACAGGAAAAATTATGATTATCATAAGGATTGTCTTTATTATAAAGACATGTGAAAAAATACACTATTACATCTATTAAAAAATTACGATACCATATTACTAAACCAATGTTGTGTCTATGACTTGTGAATGATTCTTCTATATATGTAACATGTACTAAGCAAGATAAAAGGGATGATGTATGAGCTTAAAAAAATCACTCAGCTTTTCTTTTCTGAGTTTTATACCATTAGGGTAAAAGGGCTCAAGTTTATTATTGATGGTTTCCCGATGGTTGTCCACAATTTTGCATTATTACGTCTAGCAGCATGAATGTATCACTTTCTAAATGTGTTTGTTTCATTTGGAATGAGTATGGTGATCCTATTTTTATCCGGCATCTCTTTTATCTAGCATGTCTTTTTATCCAGCATGTTTTTAGCCAAGAAAGTTTTTCAAAAACCAATACCTTCTTGTTTGAATTTGTGCATCTAAAGTACCATTTTTTGTTTTTATTTTTTTCCATTTTAGCGATGTCTTGATAAAAAAAAATCTCCTTCTAACAATGTTTATTCTTCACCTCTGAAAGTCAATTCATTTTGTTGTTAAACAGATCACATTTTTTACATGTAACTAATTGTGGATAGTGAATTTTGTATGAATTCTTGCTTTAGTCAAAAATAGTCATGGATCCGCCCCTGTATTTAAATAGGAGTTCAATTCAATTGCGCCAGAAGGTTTTGCAATAATACAACTTAATAGTATACTTATTTTTCGTTAAAAGTTTAAATTTTTATAATCTCTTTACCAGCATTGAAAATATTCATTTAAAGCCTGGTAATAAATTAAAAACTTTCTTTTATGTAAATAAGCAATATAAATACTTATAAGCTAACGTGAAGGAGTTATTTATTTAAAGATAATTCGAGCTAGGAAACTGGTATGAAGTGTAAAGTTTTATTTAAATTTACTTTAACAAATAACTTACTTAAATTAAATAAATTTACTTGAATAATTTTACTTAAAATAAATAAATTTACTTAAGTTAAATAAATTTACTTAAATTAAATAAATTTACTTAAATTAAATAAATTTACTTAAATTAAATAAATTTACTTAAATTAAATAAATTTACTTAAATTAAATAAATTTACTTAAATTAAATAAATTTACTTAAATTAAATAAATTTACTTAAATTAAATAAATTTACTTAAATTAAATAAATTTACTTAAATTAAATAAATTTACTTAAATTAAATAAATTTACTTAAATTAAATAAATTTACTTAAATTAAATAAATTTACTTAAATTAAATAAATTTACTTAAATTAAATAAATTTACTTAAATTAAATAAATTTACTTAAATTAAATAAATTTACTTAAATAAATTTACTTATATAAATTTACTTATATAAATTAACTTATATAAATTAACTTAAATTAAATAAATTTCTTTATTTAAATCACAAGTTTATTTACTTATGCAAAGTATTTTACAAAAACAAAAGCATACACCTGTGTGTATATTTTAGAATAACAATGTTTTAATTTTCGAATATTCTGACCTGACTGCCATCAAATTAAAGTTACAAATTTAACCTTTTTTTTTTTTTTTTTTTTTTACAAAAAAACGTAATCTTTTATACATAACAGAAAGTATTTGTTTACATAAAATATATTTTTTTATTTTCTTATATAGTTAATTAATGTTAATAAACATTAATAAACTAGATTTTTATGATTAACCAAGATTTTTTAAAATTTAACAACTTTTTTTATTGCGTGTTTTATAAAACACACAATAAAAAAGCTCTTGACATATCAAAGAATTTAAACACAGTTTGAAAAAAGGTGCATAAAAAATATTGAACTAGCAAGCAGTAAAACAGGCCTTAAATAGTAAATTGTTAAATAGTTTTAAGTTTGTGAATTAAAAGTTGTTTAAAAAAAGCAGTAGAAGATTTTGTGAAGTCTCATAAAAGAGACTGTAAAGTTTCTAAACTAAGAAATAACTGAAAAAATAACTGACAAAAAGTATCTCTTTTAAAGGAAATTAAAAAGAGTGTGCTCATTAAAATTAGAAGATAAAGAAAAAGTACTTAACAAATAATTCATCCTTGTTTTCAGAAGAGTTATTACAATCTTACCCATGCTGTAGATTGTTATTACAATTTTAGTCATGCTGTAGAGAGAAAATAGATTTACCTTAAAGATTATGTATAAGATTTTCTGAAAGTTTCTAGAGTTTCTAAGATAAAATACAAGGTTAGATAATCTGAGAAACACATAGGCGACACATTAAACGATTTTTTAGCACAAAAATAAAATATATCAGAACAACAATCAGTACATGCATAAAAAATAATTTCATACTTAAAAAAAAACAGAAAGAATCCCAGTCAACCGTAAAATATTTGTTAAATAAAAAGGATGAGTGTATATGAACCGATTAGAAGAATTCGATGATGAAATGAGAAGAAAAACGAAACCGCAGTTTTGGTAAAATCAAAGCATGGTCTAAACCACTTATAGGAAAATAAAAAAAAAACTTTGCAAAAGCTTGGTAATTATCAAAAAAAAAAAAAAAAAAACTGTGGAAAAAACTGCTTGCTTTATATAAATATTATCGCATAAGTAGTATCACTCACCAAGAGATACTATTTATGTGGTAATATTTATATAAAACAAGGCATAATTTCCAGTAGCAGTTTGATGCTACTTTTAAGAGATTTCTCATAATTATTTTTTGCCAAATTTTTAGATAACAACCTTATCATTACCATAATTTTTAGATAAAATCCTTATCATTACCATAATTTTTAGATAACAACCTTATCATTACCATAATTTTTAGATAAAATCCTTATCATTACCATAATTTTTAGATAACAACCTTATCATTACCATCGAATCCATCAAAAGTTCAAACCAAGTTTAATAACTAGACTTCTTCTTTTTTTCGGAAAAGTGTTCTTTATATTTCAAATAATAATTAAAAAAAAAGACTCAAACGACATTTTGAAGAATTATGGGCGAAAGTTCAGAATTTTAGAAATTCTGAACTTTCGAAATTTTTGTTTAATTTTTGAAAAAATGTTATAACAGCGTTAAACCCAGTGGGCACATGATGTTTTTTAAACGTCTAAAACACGTCTTGTTTTTACTCGGAACGACAGAAAGGTCATATACCCATTTATTAATAAACTATTACAAAAAAGACTTATGCAAATGTTTATATGGCTCGACTTAGAGCCAAGACTTGGAGCCAAGTCAAAAGCCAAAAAAAAGGTATGTATGTAAATTAAAAAATGTCCAAGGAAATTTTGATAAAAGTGGCAAAAATGGTCAAAGTAAAGAACAAGACAATTTAGAAATGCTAAAACCAATCAACTATATTTTTACTTAACAAACCATATTGTAACCTTAAGTTTAGTGTCATTAAACAGTCTTTTGTTTGAAAATAGTTTAGATTTAGAATTGATTTTAATTGCCTAACATTGCTGCAAAAATGCTTTGGTTCTCTTCATAATCAATGGAGAGTAAAAATGGTCTTTACAATAAATGGTGAGTAAAAATGGTCTTAATAAAAATCTTAAAAGTAGCAATGTGAAAGTATAAAAGTTCATTTTCTGTTGTCATTGTTAACAAACTTCATTTCAAACCTTTGTTTAGTTATAACTGTTTCTTTTGTTTTCAACTTTTTCAATTAATTTGTTAGATTATATTTTTACTCACAGTACTTTAGTTAGTGTTAAACTCATCAAATACACGTCACCAAATACACTTTTCCATATACACGTCATCAAATATTACGTAGACTTATAGAGCCTGCATAAAATTAACACATGGAAGTTCTGTGATTTTTTTCAGTCGATAAAAGTTCATCAGGTTACTTTTCTTTGAAAGATGGTAAAGAAATAATTGTTTGTTTGAATAAAGTTCTACTAGAAATTTTCTATTCAGATTGGTCAAAGCCTATATTTAATTTAGTATTAGGGTTTGTTACAGTTGGTCCAATAAAACAATTGAAGCATACTCTATCAGCAGTTCCAGGCTTCTAAACACTTTTTTTTTCTTCTTTTCATCTATACAGACTAATCCAGCGCTCTCTTTTTTAAACAATATCTATTTGTACATAGAAATTAATATATTTGGAATGGTACCTCACACCCCCACTCAGACAATTTATTCCACTTGTGTTGTTTTTTCATTTTTTTAGTCTATAGGAACTATTGATACATCCTATTACAGCACAACTTACATTTGTCTTAAATGTTTTATTTCTTATCGCTGAGTAAATATATATATTTTTCTTTCTAAATTAAAAGTTGGTGTAATTTGTAGAATCTTTTAACATTTAATGATTGCTCTATAATTAATATCATGTAAAGTTACCAAATCGCTAAAATCTTTATCAAATTTTATGAGTGTTTTCTATAAAAATAAAATATATTCTTTACCAAATTAACTTTTCTGATATAAATATGTCTTTAAAAAGCGATTTAATAAATTTGCAATATAATTTTACCAAAATATTGTAACACTACCAAACTGACATTTGAACGTTTCAAACAGCTGTAAAAAAAAAGAACCTGAACAGTTTACTCACTCGCACAACTGCTATTGCATTTGAATTTTCTTAAATATGGCTGCAATTTTATCAAATAAAGGAAACCCAAGGCTAACCTGTTGCGAAAGCACTCAGGCGAATCAGAAAATCTATGGGGTGTGAAAAAACATTGATGTTTACTATTCCAGTCTTCCAGTCTTACTCTAAAGCAGATAATAAGTTGAAATGCGACATTTTTAAATAAATACCAGATATCAGATTTTATTAATTTTGATGGTTTTAAAGCCTATTATGTTATTTTAATTTATTCCAAGAGAGGTTTGATTTTTAAATTTTTTTTATGGTTGTGATATTTCGTTTTTGCAAAACTTTTCAATTAAAATCCTATAACTTGCACTTTCAATAACGTAATTCACTTTTACGTAACAGTAGTTTTTTGTTTATGAGAGTTAGAAAACAAATTTGACAAAAAAAAAGGAAACGATATTTGGTTTGAATCTACTTAAATATCTTTTGAAAAAGTATCGATATGCTTATTTTTAATTAAGGTTGGCCACGTTTTTGCTGTTCTTATGTAGCTGTGACATGAAATTAATCTTATGTAGCTGTGACATGAAAGAAAGTTTGATTATACTTTTAAGCGTACTTTTTGTTGTACATTCTCTACCAGTATCAGGTTAGTCACCTTTAAATCCAGTTTAATTTTTTTTAATGGAAAATTTTTTGTAAAAATTGTCAACATTTTTTTGGTTAGTTTATAAACTGAATGAGTTATTTAGAATTTATTGTTTTTTTTTTTCTTTACGCGTTATTCACCATCAACCCTATTCTGTCAATATATGGTTGTTCTTCTAAATTATCATACTCAATAATAGTTTTATTTATGCTTTTGTTTTTTTAAATCTCTTTTATAAATAAAATAGTTTTCAGTTTACAACAAAAATATTTATTTTATTAAAAAAAAAAAAAAAAAAAAAAAAAACAATTAAAAAACTAATTAAATTGTTATATGATTTACCCAGTGAAAAGCGGACATGCGCGTTTGCCATGATGAGTTTTTATTTTCTGTACAATAATGTAAACAAGATAAACAAGTTACAACAATATTTAGCTCTCACGCGCTTTATTGGTTTTACTACACTAGCTGAATTAAACACGCGCTTTAAATTTCAAGTACTGCAATGCATTATTAGAAAATAATATTCGTAATTAGAACGCCTATTAACATATTAAAACTGTTATTTTATTTGTTAGTATTTGCTAAACAAATACAGCTAGTATTTTACAAAAACTAACTGTATTTGTGAAATAAAATTATAATAAAAATTACAAGTTAAATAAAATTAATCTGTAATTCTACTTTTTGATCTTGAAATTACAATAAAGAACTTGTTGATGTGTAAAGAACAAGTTGTTAAGCAATGTTATATTTCAATATTCCAAATCCTTATTCCAAATTACATACCCAGGAAAAAAATTTCTATTGAATTTCTATAAACTTTTGAAACATATGGCTTATAGAAATTCTATAGAATTTCTATAGAATCTCTGTTAATTTCTATAGAAATTTCTATAGAACTTTTTTTCTACTTTTATCTCTATAGATTAAAAAGTTTTATGGCAATTTCTATAGAAATTAATAGACATTCTATAAAAATTCTATAGAGATTTTATAAAATTTCTATTGGCCATACGTTTCAAAAGCTTATAGAAATACTATAGAACTTTTTTTCCTGGGTAATTGATTACTGTAAATAAAATTACATTTTGTTTGTTAAGAATTTTGCATTTTTTACCTAGATTTATCTATAGTTCTTGATTGCCCTGTAAGGTAATGCTTTTTTAATTTAATTTTAACAGTCTGTGTAACATGTCTTAAAAAAAGATAAACGTAAATTCCGGCCGGAACCAATATAATCTAAAAGTCTCAAATTCCAAACGGAACGGAGTTCTAGGACATCCCTAATTTGCATATTATTTCGTATACTTATATATTATTGTTTTACAATAAAAAAGGGTTGCATGCAATGTTAAACAAGAACGCTTTTAAGCTTAAAATAAATGATAGCTAATGAATCAATTTTTTTTTATTTTTTTTTTTTTCTGAAATCTAAATCTCTATTCTGAAATCTAAATCTATTTCAAACTTTTCCAAACGAAAAAATTTTCTAAATTTCGAGAAGATTTCTTTTACAATGATTTCGAAAAAAATCCCTAATTTTGTAACTTTTATCCAAGTTTTTGCAATTTCAAGATAGGTCATGCTACCGAATGATAAAATAAAAATAAGTGGATAAAAATCGGATAAAAATCATGCATATGAAGAAAATCATCACGGAACTACATCTTCATGATGGACTTTCCTCATGTAACTACAGCGAGTCTCAAAAGCTACTGGAACTCTATATCTACTGTTGAAAGGGTTAAAAAAATATACAAAAGAAAAATACTTTTGAACATTAAATCAGTAGATAAGATTTATAGTTTTTTTTTAAAGAAATCTAAATAGTAGATACCAGTTTATTATAATGTTAAAATACTACAGTATTTGAAATAGTCTACGTGGATAGATAAAATAGACTACAGTATTTATAATAGTCTTTTATATTAAAATAATTTTAAGTAACACTTTATCACAGACTCTTCATTTAAATCTTTTTTGACGTCTTCAAACTTCAAAAAAGATTTAAATTTTAAAAAAAAGATCATAGTTCCTTTAAAAGAAGATTGACATCTTAAAGATGATAAACTAAGTCAGAGATAATTTTGGAATTTTTTTAATTTTTTATTACTAATAAAGTTAAATACTCACATGAACCAACTACAGAACAATTATTAACAATTATTAAAAATTAAATTATAAACTACATTAATAGTTATAAAAATTATTAATGGTTTCATGAAATGTTTACCATTTTTATTTCTTGAGTTATTTTGTCATAACTTGAATAAAATGGAATATACTGTTTGCTGCCACAAAAAAAAGGAAGTTGAGATAACTATATAACATTCAGCTCCCTTTCAAACAAAACTTTAATATAACTTCATTTAATACAATGTACAACTTTATCACGTAATGTAACAGCTAAATCACGTAAAAAAATTCTAGCTTATTTAAAATATGACATCAAAAATGTAATATTTCATGTAAAACATCATATAAAATTCTTTTGAAGCAATGTTTATATGCTAAAGTTATCTTCAAAATATTTTCAATCAAACATGTAAAACCATTTGCTTTAACTTTGTTTGAAAACATAACCCATGCAAACCGACTAGCATGAAACTTATGGCTCTGTCGCTAGCGTATCAGGCTCACATACAGAAATATCCTTCCCAAAATCTCAAAAATTAATATCCCAGTAACCACAGATCATTTTTAAAACGTTTAAAAAACGTTAAAAGCCGTTTTCATAGGTTTTTTAAACGTTTTAAAAACGATCTGTGCTTACCGGGATAGTGATCTGAACTTTTTGTTTTGGTCAAATTAAATTTTAGACACGAGGAAAATAAAAGTGGAGAGTTAGAACAAATGTTTTTAAATTCATCTTTGTGTCTGTGAACAGTTCTTACAAAGGTTTTTAGATTCTTCTTGGTATCTGTGGTATTTTGATTGAAAAATTAATTTTTAATGATTTCATAAGAAAGTTCGAAAGATTTTTGCTTAAATTAGGTGCATAAGTAGTCAAATAGTTTGGTGACAAGTAGTCAAATAGTTTGGTGACAAGTAGTCAAATAGTTTGGTGACAAGTAGTCAAATAGTTTGGTGACAAGTAGTCAAATAGTTTGGTGACAAGTAGTCAAATAGTTTGGGGACAAGTAGTCAAATAGTTTGGGGACAAATAGTCAAATAGTTTTTAGATTTTAAAAGACCCTGTTTTGACTTCAACTTCAACTTTTGGGAAACAGTTCAACTTTTGAGAAAAAATAAATGCATTTAATGTAATTAAGAATTTCTCATGTGTTAGAAAAGATTTTCATATATATATTGAAAATATTTTAACTGATGTACGCTTTTTTTAATAAAAATTTGTTATTAAAAAAAACTTTTAAGTCAAAAAAATATTTTTGTACAAATGCAATATGTGATATACTGAAATCAGTATTGTTAAGTTAAAAGATTTTTCTATGTGTTGTAGGTCATATCTTAAATCATTTATAAATCGCACTCGAGATTATTTGCAATCACTATCTCCACAATTAGATTTTACTAATCTCTTAAGGATTTAAATTAGAATTTATTTCTTATTCGTTTTAGTATATTTAGGTAACTGAATTTTTTTTGCGAGTGGAATTATAGATTTTTAAAAAACAAATTTAAAACTTTTTGTTGGCAAACTGTTTTTGTTTTGTTATACGTCTTTGGAATAACTATAATATATATATATATATATATATATATATATATATATATATATATATATATATATATATATATATATATATATATATATATATATATATATATATATATATATATATATATATATATATACATATATATATATATATATATATATATATATATATATATATATATATATATATATATATATATATATATATATATATATATATATATATATATATATATATATGTATATATACTCTACTACTATATTGTTTTAAATATTATTATTATAAATACTTTTATTTATTTTTTTACTTATTATAAACACTTATTATTAACTTTTTTCTCACACACAAAAAAAAAAAATACTAAATGATGGTTTCCGACTTTTGAATTAAGCAATGGCTGCCTTTATCATTATTTTAACATTTCTTACTTTTTTTTCCAGAAGAATATATTTTATCAGGGATGAAAAAAACTCCGGATTCGAAAATTACAAAAAGGTTATTTTTTCCCCTTGGTTTTTGGTATTCAGGAGCTTTAAAAATGTAAAGAGTCTTATGAATTACTTTGTAGAAAAAACAAGACTTTTAGGTTGAGGAAAAATTGATTTTGAATTCTGAGTTCTTATGCATAATGACAGAAAAGACTCTAGGACTCCCGATGACAAAAAACAATTGGTTTTAAGTTATTAAATCTCATGAAGTTTTTTTATTGTAGATTGTTAGTCAATATACATTTTTGAATCTTCTGCATCCTAGAGACCAGGAAAAAAAAAAGAGATTTAAAGCTTCTTTTGAACTCTTCACCCAGAGCCGTGGCTAGACTCTGGATGAGGAGTTAGGCTAGCTGAGGCTAGCTAGGCTAGCGAATTTAGGGGTCCTTTTGCAAATATATATGCCCTTTTACAAAAATAAGGAGCTATTTTCTTTTTTTTTATGTTTAGTAATATTAGTTTAGTAATGGAAAAATTTTTAAGATTTTGGGGCCCTTATGATAGGTTTTTGAGAGGGCCTCGGATCTAGTAGCAAAAATCAATTTAGTTTTTATTTCTTTAAAAAAAATTTCACAATGTTTATCTTATTATATTTATATTAATATTATATTTATATTATCTTATTGTATTATTATATTAATATACATTTATATTACCTTATTATACTTATATTATATTTATATTAAACAAACTTGAAAAAAATTATGCGTTGAGAAAGGTTTTGAAAGAAAGATTTTGTAATAAATAATACGTGCGTACGTATACGCAGGTATACGTACAACTCCGCCCACTCACCCCCATAAGGTGGGGGTGAGTGGGCGGAGTTGTTGAAAGCATACTGTTGCGTACATACTAATAACGTCACTTTAATATTTATATACAATACGGAAGAGTTACAACTTTACTAAATCTTTACTATAACGAAAATACTATTATGGAAACCAATCCAAGTTATACAAGTGTAGAGTCATATAAGTTAAACTTAAATGTGAAATATTTATGCTGTCATTTTATTTAAGTTTAAACAGTTACGTATAAATTAAAATTTCAAAAATATGTTACAACAAATATCTTTTTTGTGTGTGTTAATGAGGTGTATACGAATAACCAAAAACCCTTTGCACTTGCATGTAACTTCACTGCGCCTGTCCCTTTTTTATTCAGTCGATGTATGCATACTCTACTGAGCCTGTCCCTATTTTAGTCAGTCGAAGTATGAATCGCAGCCACTGTTGCTATTTTTAATTTAAATTTAGTTTTTCTTTTTTTTTAATTTTTTATTGTATATATGTATCAAAAATATAACTTACGTTTGTGTCGCTGTATTAAAAATGTTTTTTATACTCCGGTGTGGTCCGGTGTTGGTCAGGTATGGTCCGGTGTAGTATTCGTACACACCGGTGTTAGTGTGTCTGTTATTTTATTCCTTTAGGGTGTCTGTTATTTTAATCCTATTTTAATCCTTTAGGGGTTGTTCAAATAATACATACGTGACAGTCTTGGGGGGGGGGGAGTATTAGAAAGTGTCACTAAATGTCACATGGGCGAGGGGGGTGATTTGCCTCAGTGACGTGACAAAAAACATTTTAAATTAAATTGTTTATCGCTGCGTAATTAAATTAGTTTATATTGCAAACTCGGAGGTATTTATATATAATACTGATTTCGAGAAAAATTATATGCAACGACTTCACGAATAGCAAGCGTTTTTTGTTTAACTTTCATTTAATAAAAATTTTTGTTTTTGTTAAATGATTGGATTTGATTAATTTATATTTACGATAAACTAATACTTTATTATAAATATACAAGTAAAACAAAATGCTATAATATAAATTTGTAAGAGCTCAGATTCTTGTTTCTAGAGCATCCATCTTAAAATCAACACCAATTTCAAAATCGTTTTTTTTAGCCCAGGGTGTTCTTGAGCCTCTTAAGCGAAGTATCTTAAGGAGCCTTTTAAGATACTTCGCTCAACTATCCTCAAAGGATAGTTGAGCGAAGTATCTTAAAAGATAACTTTGTTCTTAACTTTGTCATAACATCTGAGTATTTTTCATTTTGTTTTTCCGCTAGTTTCTCCGCTAGCCTTCTAACAAACAGATGACATTCTTTACCCATACCTCCATTTGTACCAAACACTAGTGGTGTCAAGCTGCCATGTTCGACTTCACGAACTCGTTCGCCATACTCTCTTTTTTTTTTTCCTTTTCGTGTTTTCTGTATATAGCAGCTATATCTAGATTTTTGTTGCTCATGGAATTGACATGCGTAACTTATAAGCCAAAAAGTGCTGCCTGTCAATTTCGTCAAAAACTATTTGCTTTAATATCTAAACGAGCTTGGTTACTTTTATTTGCTGTATGGAAATAAAAATTCTCATTATCAAGGGGTATGAGGTGTGGTTCGGATTGAACATTTATGCACACTCTTTTAAGCAATGTGGTGAACAAATTTCTTATGTTATCATGACGACTTGAAATAAAGCCACCTTTCTTACACGACAATGCACAAGTTACATTGAAAAGTTCTCCGCATTCACAAACACGAGGGATATTTTTCAAGTCAAAATTATAACGTAAGCAAAGTGCATCTCGAAATTCTTCTTTATTTAAAACAAAACCTTGGTTTTCTAGTGGTAAGGCGTTTAGCACATTCGCTTCTTGTGCTGTATGTTTCTTAACATTGAATCTGGTTGCATTGAATCAACTGCAATTATTTTCTCTTTGCGGTGCTTAAGTCTGTCAGTAGTTAATTTTTTTTCAAGATCTTCTAGAACATTCCCAGAAAGAGTTTTTTGTTTTTAAAATTGTATCTTGATCTATAATTTGCTGTACAAGATTTTTAGTTAATTTTACAGATGATAAAAACTGGTGAGGCGCTTCTTCAACTAGTATAGGTATACCCAATCCTCCATCTCGAGGAGTTAATGTAAAAAGTTTTCTAATGTGATCCTCAAATGGCGTATCTTTTCCAAAAAGAGTTGGTAACAACAAATGACTAAGTATTTCGTCTACGGGCGCTAGATATTGTTCAAATTTTGGAATAATTCTTAGGAAATATGTAAATTTTGAACGAAATCCTTTTGTAAACATCTTTGTCATCATCTTTGCAATGACATCGCAAATGGCGAACGCTTTTTTCTAACGGATTATAATAACTTTTTTAAAAGAGGAAAAAAGAAAAATGTAAACATTTATAAATTAAACGAAAAATAAAATCAACTAAAAAAGAAGAATGAATAAATGTTTTAAAAGAAAAAAAGAAAAAGAAATATTTGAAAGGAAATAAGTAAAAAAGTAATGAAAATAGAAGTTAAAAAAAAACAACAACTAATGAATGAAATAAAAATGAATGGAAAAGAAAGAAAATAATAACTACATCAAAAAAAGATTGGCAAATCAAGATTTTTTTATTTTTTCATATATTTCTTTAGGTTTATTTCATATATTTCTAAGGATTCTTTATTTACGATTTATTTTTTAGTTTTGCTGTTATGCGGTCTTGTAGTAATGTTTTTTCTTTAGTTTTTAGCGTATTAAGTTTTACTTTATATATTTTGTTAGTCATTTATTGTTTTATTTTTTAGTTATTAATTATTTTTAAATAGTGATATATAATTTTTTATACAGTTATATATTATTTGTTTTTATTTTTATTTTAGCTATTTATCATATATGTTTTATTCTGCCATGTAATATTATATATTTTTCTTCTTTATTTGTTGTTGTTTTTAGTTTTTATTTTTATGTTGTTGTTTTTTTATTGTTTTTTTTTTGTTGTCAAAAATATTTAACGTAATTTTTTGTTTTGTTCTTAATGTTTGTTGTATCTTTTGCTTTGTTTTGATTTTTTAAGTGTTTTTCTGTTTACATTTTATTTAATTAGTTTCTGTTTACATTTTTATTTATTTATTATTTGCAATATATTTTGGTTATGATCAGTGCCGGATCATGGGGGGGGGGGGCAAATTTAGGGGCCCCCAAAAATTTTAGAGGACCTTTTTTTTTTTTAGTCATTTTTAGGCTCTGGCCAATAAAAAGGCCTCCAAAAACAAAAATAGCCCCGGGCCTCAAGAAGTCTTAATCCGCCACTGGTTATGATATTATAAGAGCTATGATTAATACATTTACTAAATCATTATAATTTTTTTTAGCAATAGTTGTTTTTATGTCATCGTTAGTTGTTACGTTTTGTCAGTTTATTACTGTTTGTAACTGTAACTTTGTATGTATAAGCGATTGTTGTATAGAAAGTTATACCGATTTATTTAAATTGCTATATTATTAATATTAATTACTATATTATTAATATTAATTACTATATTATTAATATTACTATTTTTAAAGTAACATGTTATTATTATTATTATTATAATTATTATTATTATTATTGTTATTATTTATTATTATTGTTATTATTATTATTATTTATCATTATTTTATTATAAATATTTTTATTATTATTATTACTATAACTATTTTAATCATTGTTATTAGGTGTTTACTTATTATTAGTAGTTTATACTATTTGTAAGCAACCTTGAAATGTAATACAAAATATTTCAGAAAATATATTGATTGATTGATTGATAAACGAAATAAAATCGGCCTGTGGTTGCGTCTCTGCTACTTTACAAAGTTGTTTTAACTCGGCTACTTTACAAAGTTGTTTTAACTCGGTAACCATTTTGCTACTTACTCAGTGCAATATTTTTTCCTAAAATTTTGCGAACCTATTACTGAACCCAAATGTTGTTGACCCTCTAAATTAACCAGCATTTAGATTGGTTTACATAGTAGCCATGTTTACATCCTTCATTGATAAGATGTTGATACCAGCTATGTAAGTTTGCAATGCTTCCACTAGCTGCAGCATCGTCTGCTACCCACACCTGCTTAACTTGTGGGTAATTTATAAGTAAGTGTTCTATAATAATCGTGGTGTTACAAGAGTACCATGGCATAGCAAGGAGATCACCTTGAGTTGTGCCTTCTTGGGATGATATTTCTTTACCCCCTGCCACAAAGAGCCTCGATGGATTTCGATAAGTATTGATTAAGTAAATTGAAATTAACGGACAAATGATCTGGATGTTGTGTAAGGCGACTTGTCGATTCATACAATACAAAAGCGTTCTTTGCGTCAATCAAAAGTATTGCATCTGCTTGCACATTGTTGAATATTTCCTTCATGGCATGTACAGCCGCTTCTGCTCCTGCCCCATGTCCAGCACATGTTTGTAATGGCCTGGCTGCCTCTTTTATCTCACTGTTGAAACTCCAGCTAATTACTTTACCTATGATACGCCTTAATACTTCTCCTACTCCAATTGGCTTAATACCTGGATTTTTATCTAGAGGAATTAATCGACAAGCAGTGAAAGCTTCTAGAAATGTTGGTTCATATGTTTCTGTTAGTAAGTTTTGTGTCATTTTAGCAATTTCTTTCGGAGTTCTTTACCTTCTTTGTTCTTTAATTTATATTTACTCTTTCCACAAAATTATTTTTGTGGAAATTGTACGCATAAAAAGAAATTCTAATCCTATGAACATAGAACTAGATAGTGGGCAAGTATCTAAAAACAATTTATATTACTATCAAAAATCATGTTTTATTTTTTTAACACTATTTATATTAATAGACTAAAAAGTTAAGTGTTATTTTCGCCTAAAATTAGGTCTTCAAATATAATACATAATCTATATTATTCTATTTTCAATGTTATTATTAGTTTGGTATGTTAATGTTAATGTTATTATTACTTTTAATATTTTGTGTCACTCTATTGCAAATAATTGGTCTAATTACTTTATTATTTTATTACGTTATTATTTTATATTTATATTTTTATTTTTCATTAAGTTAGTTAGATTGTTAACAAATTTTATTATTAATAATGCTATTGTTAACATTAATTCACAATGTGCTTGTTTTTAATTAATGGTTGTTAGGAAAATTAATTTATTGTCGTTGTTGTTATAGAATAAAAATGTCTAGTGAAAAGGAACAACTTTACAAATCTATTTATGAAGGATATTTAAAAGCATTTGCAAACAAACCAATGCAAAAGTCTCAAATAAATTCTGGTCTGAGATCAAAACAAAGAGCAAAACATTACTCGATATAAATGTAGAAGTTGAAAAAAAATTGAAAGAACTAAAGCAAATTGAACTTCGAAATAAAGTTGGTATTTTATCTTACTGGACAAAATTACAAAACTATAACTATACTTTTGATGACTTGACTGATGCAACCCCATCAATTAAAAATAGTGAAAACAGTGAAAAAGGCTTACAAGAAAACTCCAATTCGTTAAAAGTTTTAAAAAGACCTGTGCAAAAACAAGATCAGTTAAAGAATGAAATTTTTATTTTACAAAAAGATATCGCATATTTTACTGAAAAAAGAAATTGCAACTTGTTGTCACAAGAGGACCACCATATATTAAGACAAAAACAAAAGCTTTTGATAGAAAAAAACCGAGATCTTGTACTTCATCAAAAAGCAACCAGGCTAAAAAGAAAAAGCAATAGAAGCTTTAGATCCGGATATTAGAAAAAAGTTGTGTGGTATTAAAATCGCAGTGTCATAAGGTCGACCGCTAGCCTGTGATCAGGTACAAGGTGACTTTAGCTGATCATGATTTTGTAATTGCTCATCAACACAAACTTATTCCTTCGGTAATTGCAGCCATAGAAATCAAAAAAGATTGCATGGAAAAACAAGCAGTCACATATTCTGGCCCAACATACATAGCAATCAGAAGTGCAAAACATGATTCATCAACAGCACTTAGTCACTTAAAAGACATCTCAACCATCTTCCTGCATTTGAAAGCAGCTTATTTACTGAAGATGGAGTTAGCAATCCAGTCATGATTATAACTGTTGATGGTGGGCCAGACGAAAATCCAAGATATGAAAAAACAATTCATTGTGCCAAGACTTATTTCAAAGAGCATGACCTTGATGGCATGTTTGTGGCAACCAATGCTCCTGGTAGAAGTGCCTTTAACAGGGTAGAGAGAAGAATGGCTCCGCTAAGCCATGACCTTGCAGGAATTATACTTCCATTTAATCATTTTGGAAGCCATCTTAATTCAAGAGGAGAAACAACAGACAAACTTATGGAGAAGGCAAATTTTGCCAAAGCTAGCGAAGTTCTTGCACAAATTTGGTCCAGCACAGTCATTGATGGATTTGAAACTATTGCAGAATACAAAAACCAAACAGTGAAAATCGTGTACAATTAAAGCAGTTTGGAGCAGAGTGGGATGCTAAACATGTCAAAGAAAGTCAATACTTGCTTCAAATTGTAAAATGTAATGATCAAAACTGCTGTGGTCATCGTTGCAGCTCACTGTTCCATCTTATTCCAACTGGTTTTCTTCCTTCACCAATTTCTTTGTTCAAAGGAGAAAATGGCCTTGAGTGCAATAATACAAAGAATAACTTTGCAAGCCTCTTTTTAAACTTATCACTAAGCAAAACAATTTTTCCCAAGACAATTACAAAAAAGTTTCCCAAAGGATTGCCATACGACTACTCATGTCCGAGCATTCAAAGTTCCTTACCAAAAAGAATTTGTACCAATTGTAGTCTATATTTTGCCACTATCAAATCAATGAAACAGCACAAAACAGTTTGCTCAAGTATTGGATTATAGAATGAGATTCAAAAAGTTAAACCTCATTGCCTATTTGCTCAACATTTATGGCTACATACCATATCAATGCTAATAAGCAATACTTAATGTAACTTTTTTTGTCTCGCATTTTGCGAGGCATTTTTTATTCTGAGTTAGGTGAAAAGGTATTTTGCATTTATTGCAATGTTCTTGTTATGCAATATTCTTGACTTTATCTAGTCTCTATTTTAGTCAATAATCTATGTTATTGTAGAATATATTGAGACAAAAACAGGAGGTTTACAACTATATTTGCTTGGACTATCATCAACATCAATCAATAGTCTACCAAGTGACAATAAAGCTAGTTCTTTTTTAGCAGATAAGAGCCTCAGCAATACTAAAAATAAATTTAAAATCAATAGCTAGGTTTTCTTTTTAAATTTTAATTGGTTTAAATACCGACAACAAAAAAGCTATCCATTTACTATGAAAATATTTACACAACAAAATATCACCTTCAAATATTACTTATATACATAAATATATATATATATATATATATATATATATATATATATATATATATATATATATATATATATATATATATGTATATATATATATATATAAATATATATTTATATATATATATATAAATATATATTTATATATTATATTATATATATAAATATATAAATATATATTATAAAATAAATATCAGAAAGAAGTAACCATCAATATTTATTTGAAAATAAACAGAATGATGAACTGTTAGCATAAAATTACAGTATATTGTTAGAATATGTCATGATAAAAAGTATACTAGATTTTACTGTTTTTGTTGCCATATGGCAACAAGTATTTAAAAAAAGTTTCAGAATAAAGAAATTGAAAAAAACAACAACAGTTATGCATTTTTAGAAACTAGAAGCATATACTAAAGTTATACCAAATTTTTTTTATATAAATCCACATAGTACATCTATAAAACAACACATATTTTCAACTTTGTTTAATATCTTTCTAAGATAAACATTGTGAAATTTTTTTTTAAAAGAAATAAAAACTAAATTGATTTTTGCTACTAGATCCGAGTCCCTCTCAGAAAGTTTAAAGCGTAAGTAATCTCTTAAAAGTTATTCAAAAGTGTATAGCAATTTTTTTTTTCTTTCCTTACTGCTAAATTATAATAAAATAAAGTGAAGTCTTATAATTGAACAAAATTAAAAACCATACTTTGAGGTGAATGACATATTTTTTGTTGCCAAATGGCAACACTAGCTCATAAAGAGCTAAATTGAGAATAAGTTGAAAGTAATTATATATATTTTATTTTTATTCCTATAGATCATGATAATCATGTTGAGATACGACGTTCAAAAAGACATTCAATTGATCGACATTCAATAGCTGATAAAGAAGGCAAAATAAATTTTTTTCTGTATATGTTACTGTTTCCTTTGTTTTGAAATAAATTGTTACAATAACCTTATTTTTTTTAGTTCGTACAATAATTTCAGCCATTGTTGATGCAATTCTTGATGGAGATAGGAAAAAAAGATCCTATATCCCAGAAGGCAATTTATTTATAAATATCTACTTATGCTTTGTTAAAGATTGAATTTAAAGATTGAATTTAAAGTTTGAAACAAAATTAGAAAAACAAAAAATATGAAGCAATTCAAATTTTATTACTTGGCATTAGTTGATTTGATTTTTTTTGTTTTTCTTTTAATTGTGGTTTTTATTTAATTTTTTGTAGATGATGACGAAAATGATAAGGATGAAGAAGATGATTTTCAAGATGATTTAAATAAATTTTCAGAAAATTCAGAATCAGAAGAAGGAGCGCAAAATGTTGAACACAGTTCAATATTGGAAGAAAGTGTAGACAATAGTGCAAAAATTCCTAAAGATGCCAACTCTGTTTCTCGTTCTGCAATTAATAAAGTTGTTACTGATAATAGTAAACTGTTAACAAATGTAAAAAATTCAACTGAAATTGATAAACAATCTTATTCAGGATTAAATTCAGAATCAGAGTCAGGTTCAACCGAACAATCAGGCTATGACAGCGGTAGTAGTCAAGATCAACCTGAACAGGAGTTATTTTCTATATCTAGCAAATCTTTAGTAACCAAAGGACTAGATGCTAGTCGTATGAAAAGAGATGAAGATGAGCAACTGAGACCTGAAAGATATGAAGATCACATCGATTTTAAAAATATTAAAAGTTTGGTTAATAAAGCTCACACAGATGATTCTAAAAATTTGTCAGTAAAAGTCAATAAAAGTGATGAAATTAATACTATTTCTGGCGATGAATCTGGTAGTGAGTCTGGTATATTTTCAGGTGAAGATTTAGATTCTGAATCAGGAATTACATCTGAAATAACAGAGAAATATAAAGAAAAAAATACAACAAAGAAGTCTGAAAAAGTTATTGAAAAAAGAGATTTATTATTTGAGAAAGATAAAATCCCAAATAATGTAACTAAAAGTCTTAAATCAGAAAATATATCAGATTTAGGTTCTGGCGACTCTTCTGCAGAAGAATCAAGTTCAGATGAGAATATTGTAAATAAAAGAAGCACTATAAATGTTGAAGAAAGTTTTAATGATAATAAAAATAACAGAAATACACATCACACTAACTTTGCAAACAGTTCAATTGACTCAAAAATATTGACAAAAAGGAACAAAGTTGCAAGTCCTGCATTGGTTAAAAATAGCGAGGAACTGCAAGTATCTGGAGGAGAAATTGAATCTGGATCTGGATCATTGTGGGATGGCAGTTCTGAGTATGGGTTAGGGTCTGGTGGTGAAAAACGTGGAAAAGTATTTTTTAAAGCAGGTATCTAAATTTTGAAATTTTTTATTATAAGAACAGCACCTAGTTTATATGTTTTAAAAAGTAAACAAAGTGATTTAATTTCAAAATTAATAATACTAATAATAATAAAAATAATTGTAAAACAAAAAACTTAACTTTAAGTTATTGTAAAAAACTTAACTTAATAAAGAGTCCAAATTACTTTCATGCATATTGATTTTTTTTTTTAATTTGAATTTCATGTTATATTTTGATAAACAATCCACTTATATCTGAAGATATTGTTGGCTTGACATAGGAATAACTACAAATAGTTGTAAAAACTAACCCAATGTAACACCTATTATTGACCAAATTTTTTTTTTTTTGTGCTATAGTACTACCCATGTGTGGTTTTTAAATTTTGCCACTATGGCAGTGACCCGATTTGAACTCATGTTGCACAACAATCCAGATTTTAACATTTCTTTTGAAACTCTAACTATCTGAGCTATTCAGCCATTTTACTTAACATTACCAGCCATTTTACTTAATATTAGCAGTTTTATTATTTGTAAAAGTCCTTGAAATGTTACAACCTTATTTCAGAATATACTTGGTTTGATTTATTAGCATACAATTCAAAAAAAAAATTTTAATCATTTTTTCCAACATGTAAATCTGATTCAATGTAAAAAAAATATACAAATTTCAGGATAATTTATTTAAATGAATAATTTATTAAATTATATACTATTTATCATTTATAGAGAAAGAAGAAATTATTGGTGACACAGTTGATTATTTTAGTGGAAGTGGCAGCGGTAGTGGGAGTGGATCTTCAGTTAGCTCGGCAGAAACAAAAACTAATATAAGCTTTGAATTGTTATCTTCCGTAAACAATAGGACTTCTGATGTCAGACAAGCTAAAGACAATTTAAGTCATGACAGCCCCATCAATAATACCAATATCTTAAACGTACTAAGTTTAGTCCAAAACAAAAGTGATGTAAAAATTAATGAAAGTTTAAATGAAATTTTAAAAAACAAAACATTAAAAAGTGAAGCTTTAAAAAACAAGAGCTTAAACATTGAAAACAATAAGAATGAAACTTTTACACATCCTGAAAATAAAGAAGAGAAAGATGAAGAGGATGATTACAATAAAAGTGTTAACCAAAGTTTTAACTCAGTTAGCAAGGTATCCCAAAATATATCTAATAATTCAAATAAAAGCTATACCTTGAATGAAGATGATGGATCAAGCTCAGGAGATGAAAATAGTTACACAGAACAGAGTATTAAAAAAGTAAGAAACAATACAAATATAAAAAGCAAAGATAATAAAGAATTACTCATGAGTGTAGTAACAGATATGGCAAAAGCTGCTGATGAAAGTATTCAAGTTGATGACTCAGATAGTGTTGTTAAAAAGTCAAAAATTCATTTTCCAGAAGGAAAAAATCTTATAGTAAAAAATAAAATTGACAAAGAGAACAAAGAAAGTTTACCGGTAAGTGATCTTTAACATTAAATAGGGAGTGCTATGACACAGTTGCCATTTGTGTTCCGCAACAGTTTTGTTGCATATCAGTTAATCATTAAGTTAAACATACATTGCAAAATTTGAAATTTATGATATATGTATGTTTCAGAATATATTGCTTAATTAAAATGTCAGATATAATAATGAATCTATATTTTAAGGTGGATCTTGTACTGAAGAATCTTGTTTTGAATATATTGAAAGAAGGTGAGAAATTTGCAAGTTAATATTATAACTTAACCTAAATTGTGCTTACAATATATCAGACATATTTGTGTGGTAGATCCTTCATTAAAGTCAAGTTTATCTGAACTGGTTCAAAAGCGCAAAGTAGAAGAACGAAAGGTAGATTTTTTGTTGCTATTAAATTGACATATCAAATAATTCTTATAGTTTATTTATATTCCCATGTATATAAAGTTTGATTATTTAAAGTATTTATCTACATTTTTTGGAAAATTTATCCTAGGCAGGTACAGTTTTTAGAATTGACCAGTTTAATTTAAAATTAATATTTTTTACTTTCAGTTGCTAAATATATTTTGAAAGTCTCTTTGAAGTATTTTTATGTTTAAGCTAACTTATATTTCTATTTCGTTTTTTTGCAATTTTTACAAAAATTCAAAGTTTTTGTTTGTAGTTATAAAAAAGTCATGCTTGTATATATATATTCAGTTTGCAAAAAACTGAAAATATATACAAAAAATATATAACAAAGATATATATACAAACATGAAAACAATTAAACATCCAAATTTTTAAGATAATTAATTGTAGTCAGCACAATCAAAAAATTTTGTTCCTAATGTAACTACTACCTAAACTCTGATATTTTATTTAAAACTTGTTATTAATATTTAACTGGAATGTATATAACTTCATAACAAAAAATAAAAAATTTAATTATATTGCTGAAAACTAAGCTTTACATGGTTTTTTTATAAAGTCCTCATGATTTTCTAGAATATATAAAACAAAAAAAAAACATACAGAAAACACTTTTTTTTAAACCTTTTTCTTGTTTTCTATATTTGGAGTTGTAGGCAATTTTGACGCCTTTTTAAAATCAAAATGATTCAAAACATATTAACGCATAAAGATTTTTTTAAAATCATTATGCGTTAATATGTTTTGAATCATTACATTGTTATCTGATTTGAATCATTACGCCTTTTCTTTTAAAATTAGTTCCTATTAAACAGCAGAATATTAAAAAAGTACTTTTTACTTACATTTTACAAAAGAAAATGACACTTGCTACTTGCTACTGAGTTTTATAAAATAATATGGTAAATTTTTCTTAGCTTAGACTTTTTATAAATAAAATGTCTAAGCTAAGAAAAATCTTGAATAAATAAAAAAAGGATAAAAAAAGTGGTTTTAGGGCTATTGCATTTTTTACCTAGCTGCAAGATCAAACATTATTGTGGTATTATATTAATTTTTTTTTGTCTAGCTACAAGATCAAATATTGAGCCTTGTAAGTCATGAGCACCTTAATAAACAAAATGATGAAGAAATGGAAGAAAAAGTTACTAATGGTAAAATATTTTAGAATAAATTAGTGAAGTTGAGTTTAAAACAAGAGTTTTAATATGGAATTAAAATATTTTTTTGTGTGTGCACACTTTTAGTTACATATAATGATCATTTATAGTGTTTATAGCATATTGTGAAGAGATTTAGCATTATGATATGATTATATTGAGTTTATTAATTTACTTTGAAGATAACACCTAGCAAACAAATAATCGATAACAAATGTGTTATTGATATAAAAAAAAGCTTTATAATAATTTTATTTTGAAATAACAAAATTGATGGTTGTTGATGGTTACTAAAAATGATGGTTGGTTACCAGTCAATTTAATTAGGTTAAAAACATTGGATTTATTAACAGTCTACAGCTTCAAACGCAAATTAGTTTTTAATTTCTTAAACTTATTAAAATAAAAATAAAAACAACTTTTTTTTAACAGACTTTCTAAATAAAATAAAAGTTTTTTTATTTCTCAATCCAAACAGGTATGTGGTCATATTTCCTATTCTAAACAGGTATGTGGTCATATTTCCTAATCTAAACAGGTATGGAATTGTACAAAGAGTGGAAACAAAGTTATGAAGAATAAAATAAAAAAATTTTTTAAATTGAAATAAAAAAAGAATAAAATTTAATATTTGAGCTCATTTTAAATTCTGCTTTTTTTTTTTTTTTTTTTTTTTTCGTTTTAGCAATAAAAACAATATCTGTTGACCAATTTTTATCTCTGCCTTTCAATTTTTTTTTATATATATAACTTAAATTTCTGAAAATATAGTTTTTATAAAATTTACTCAATTATCAAAATGTTATAATGTTTTGAGATATTTATAGAAATTTGAATAAAATTATAGAAATCAAAGATTTTGAAGGTTTGGTTGAAACTCTCTCTCAGACTGAATCTTTAACTCCTAATCAACATGAAATGATTTCAAGAAAATTGGAGAAAGATTTGTTAAATCATCTAAGCATTCCAGAAAATCCAGAATTACTTCAACAAGAATCTGAACTTTTAAAATCTTCTGAAATGGAGTTTGTGAAAGGTATGATAATCAAATGATACTGTGCGCATAAAATGAATTTGTAAAAATACAGCAGCAGACACAAATCTATATAGACAAAGTTGTCTATATTAGTTGTTTATAAAATATTTTATATTATAACTTAAGTTAACTTAATATTTATCTTAACAAGTTATTTATTCTTCCAAAAGAGAAAAGAACATAGAAAAAGTCTGCCATATGAAAAAACTTAACTTAAGAACGTTATGATAGTTAAAATAAAGGCATTGCATTGAAAATTTGTTTAAATCAACATAAAAAATATATTAAAACATATAAAACATATAAACATATATATTTTTTAAATCAGTTATTTTGATTTTTATTTAGCTCAATTTATTTAAGATTCAGGTTTAAATTTTTACTTAATTAAGTGTTTAATTAATCTTATTACAGAAATATAACTTCTTTAATGTGCTACTTACCTAATTCTCTACAACAGTTCTCTACGTAACTATTGCTTCTATATCATCACCAAAAAAGTTTTCCAAAACAAAGAAATCTCTTTACTATTGCTATAAAACCATTGTAAAAAGGTTTTGTCTAACACCAAAGTCTGCTATTCCAAAATCTTGCATTTTATCTAAAAATTAGACTCCCTAGATACTTCTCTTTAGACTTCTGGAGAATCTTTAACAGTGTCTATAATAAAGGCACATTTCTAATTCCTATTTGAATCAAATTGCACTAACCACTGTGCCACAACTGCTCAAATCCACCTTTCTTGCATGATTCAGGTTACCTCACCTAAAGACAAAGCTGAATTTTTTGCTAAGAACTTTTCATCAATCTCCTCAATTGATTCCTCTAATCAGATCCTACCTGATATAGCCAGCAAACAGATTGATCCATTGCTTAACATTTGTATCACTCAAGCTTCTGTACCTAAAATGATTTCCTGTTTAGACTCTTCTTGAGGTTGTGATCTGCGCAACATACCTGCTATAGTCTTACAAAAGTGTTTTCTAGAGCTGTCGTCTATACTTTCAAAACTATTTAACAAGTACTTATCAGTCTTGTTTTCCAGCCTTCTGTTAAGCAGCATATGTTATCTTTATTTTCAAAAATTTTGGAGAGCAATCTGACTCATCTAATTACAGTCTACTGCTTGTTAATGTTAATAACCAATAGGTTTTATTGTGCATTAGATAGATGTGGAGAGGTTATGGCTATTGCTTTGGACAATTCTAAAGCCTTTGATAAAGTTTGGCATGCTGGTCTTCTCCATAGGCTCTCTACTTATGGTGTTTTAGATAACATCTTTAAGATTATTGAATCCTTTCTTATCACTCATAATATAAAAGTTGTCCTTGATAGACAGCACTCTTCTTCATACTTTTTCTCCCTATACTTTTTTTATTTACATTAACGATCTTCCAGAAATTCTCTCATTTAAGGCAGCATTGTTTGCTGATGATACTACCATTTATTCTTGTCTTGATAAGAAGCCAGCACTCTCTGACTGTTTGGAGGGAGCATTTGAGCTTTGAAAGGATCTCACTCCAGCTTCAGCATGGGGCTCACAATGGCTGGTGGACTTTAACTCTATAATCTATTAATCTAGATCTTCCTATATTTATGAATGGTTATGTACTTGATGAGTCATCTACCCTTTGTCTTAATGTCTTAATAAATCATCTTAATCTTAGGATTAACTCTTACTTCTGATCTTTGTTGGAAACCATATATCAAATCCTTTGCAAATTTAGCATCTCCTAAGGTTGCATTTCTTTATCGTGCTTGCCACTTTCTTACTACCGATTCTATTCTTTATATCTATAAATCTCCAATCTATAAATCTTCGTCCTTGTATGAAATACTGTTGCCATAATACCTGCAAAAATGCATGTAAACATAGTTGGACCTGCTGATGCAGCCAACTTTCAATCATTGTTGCATCATCATAATGTTGCTTCTCTTTCTCTTTTCTATAAATACTGTAATGGGCGCTGCTCTAAAGTGATATCTACTAAAATTCTCATGTTACTCGTCTTTTATTCTTACTCATTCATTTAAGTCTCATTCACTGTGTTCCAGTGCTCTAAAATCTCTTGTTTTTTTCCTTGAACATCAGTTTTTTGGAATTCGTTCCCTTCATCTTGTTTTCCTGATTAAAATAATTTGTAATCTTTTAAGTTGTCTGTTAATCGTTATGTTTCTTCTTAAACTTCTTCTTTTCTTTGCCTGTAACTTTCAACTCTAATAGTAGTTGCTTGCAGTCTTGTTGGAAGTAAAGATGTTTTTAAAAAAATCTAATATTTCTAAATTTTTGTTAAATGATGGGTTTAATTTTTTTGTCAGAGAAAAATTCATTCTTTGTCATGTTAATTTATGTTATTCAATTAATTAATTTATGATAATTAATACTAACTTAATTTAATTTTAACTAAAATTAAATTTTTCATTCAAATAGTTAATAACTATTAACAATAATAAATGAAGAATAAATTTCCAATATTATAATTTAAAGGGCACTAATCTTATTATTATTTAAATTTATTTTTAATTGTTTTAAAATTTATTTGTTTTTAGATAAAATTGAAGAGGCTCGAGAAAATACCATTGAATATGCTACAAAACATAGCGGAAATATGGAAGATATTCGGAAATTTGCGATTACAGCCTTAAAACCTATTGTAGAATCTTTGCCTCTCAAGAAAGAAGATATTGAAGGTCTTGCAAAATCTATAAGTAAATCAGCATGGGTTAAAATGATTACACATATGAAATTAAATCCAGAAATAAAATCAAAAGTCAAAAGAAGTCTTTTTAAACTCCTAAATTTATCATAAAAACATAAAAACATGGAATATTGTTCGAAACTGGTGTATAATCTACAGATTCACTGTCAATAATATATGTCAATACTAGTATATAGGAAGCTGATGCACTGGTGTTATTTGAATTAATTTAATCGTTACTTGATTGAAGAAAATTGTTTATGTTTTGTAACTATGAATGGCTTTTCATAATAGCCGCAGATTGAGTGTTTCATGTGAGCGTTTGGTGTCACTTGGTTCTCTCATTTTAATAACTCTGTAGTATAATTCGTTCATTTGCATGCATGATTTTTAATTTTTTTAAAGTCTTTTGGAATGTTAATGTGATCTTGTTTTGTTTATAAACGTTTCACGTGACATGTAAAATTGTATATTTTTAATGTTGTCTTGCTTGCAGGAATAAATTTATTTGTAAAAGAAAGAAAACCTTACATTTTTTAAATTTTTTGTTTTTTAATTCTTTCTTATACTAAATGGTTGGTCTTATACTAAATGGTTGCTTTTTCAACAAGTAAAAATAACTTCAATAATTTTTACATTAATAATTTGACTTTGGTAATACATATTTGTGCCCGTAAGAAAAGGTATTAATAAATATAACACAATAGTTTATACAGCAAGTTACCTGTTTTTAAATTTAACCCTATAATTTATGCAACAAGTTACTTGTTTTTATGCAACAAGTTACCTGTTTTTAAATATCGCAGCATATTATCAAAGTCGTTTTTACTATTATTTTCCAATTCTTTTTTTAAAAAAAATCTTAAAATTATTTAACGAATAGACTATAGATTAACTAAAATTATATAATAAATGTTTAATTTGTGCAAAATAATTTAATCAATAAAGATAAAAGAATATTTCGAGTAGGATCCTCTTATCACAGAGTGGATCATGTCAAAGCTATAAGGAACCTTTATATAGACGCGTGTTATACGTAAAAATAAAGATTAATGGCAATTTTTGAAACTCTATACAGCACTATATGCGCAATCTGATTAACTAATTTTGAACGAGAACCATGTGCGCATTTGTTGAAAAATGGAATAAAAATCGAAACAACCAGATTTTCGAAAATAATATTTAAGTAATGAAAAACTCAAGTAATTACACGTTTAAACTCAGGTGTTGTGTTATTATCAATACACAAAATTCATTTAATTTTTGTACTTTTCAGAGTATTGAAAAGATATCAAAATTTTTGTGTAAAAAATCTCAAAATTTCTGAATTAACTTACACATTCTATGTGAATCTACGAAATTTGAAAAGATTTTGAGAAAGCTGATTAGGAGTATTTCAAAACTTTTCTTTACTTAATTCTAATATGACGTCATCCTTAAACTGTAAAAACTTTGTGAATGTTTTGTAAAAGTTTGGCAAAGTTACTTATATAAAAAAACAGAAGACAATCAAATCTAATACTTTAATTATTAAAAATTTAACAAAAGTAGTAAAACTTATTCGTTTTTCCACTGAACGGTAATCTTTTGAACTGTTATATATGAGCATAGATGTTGCAAACAAGCAAAGAGTATTAAAGTCAAAAAAGCTACCCAAGCAAAGATAAAATATGGCACCAGAAAATTGTTCATCATTAAATCGAACTTTGTCAAAACAAGATTATGCATTTGAAGAAGCATGCACTCAAAAAAGTATTTAATTGTTATTTCTTTAAAATAAAACATAACACATCTCTATTATATTATTATTATCCACAGAAGTTTAAAAAAACACACACTTGATTTTATAGATTGTTCCAAAAACTACATATTGAAACTAAAACTGTTGATAAAATTTTGGAATGTGGAATTTCATTTTAATTTTTTTCATTTTTCCATAGTAGAAAGATTTTTATTTTTGTTCTTTCATTTTAATGCAAAATGATTTTTTATGACCACAGACAGTAATTTCTCGTTAACTCAAACCTCCAAGAAACCAAGGAAAATTTATTCAACTAAACGAATGCTTGACTTAAGCAAAGTAAAGCAATTGTTATTGCTTTCAAGGAACTATAGAAAACATTTCGAGATAACAAAAGTTCGAGTGGTCTTGTTCGATTTACCGGAATTCTCACATGTATTTATCTTAGTTTTTTTTTCTTTTACTTTAAATTCTTTCTATGTTTAAACTACTTGTTTTTTTTAGGTGTTACTTCATTGACTGGTTTTTAACTATACGAGTGACACCTAGCCTTATTCAAGTAAGTTTGTTATTATAATTATTTATTAATTTATTATTATAAATTTCAAAATTTTATGGTAAAACAAATGAAAAACAATTAAAAAAAAAAACATTTCATTACTTGATTCTAATAAACATAGTTTTTAAACCTTTAAACACCTTAAGTGAAAAATTAAGAAAATTTTTGACATGGTACATTAAGTAATATATATAAAAAAGATAACAATCGGATATTTATACTTTATTTGAAAATTTAATAAAAGAAGTGAAATTTATTTATTTGTCTACTGAACAATTATCTTTTGTACAGTTGCATATAATCATTGATATTACAAGCAAGCAAACAGAATTAAAGTCATCAAAGATACCCAAATGAACGTGAAATATAGCATTAAAAAAACATATGCCATTAATTGTGGCACTTTTTTATTATTCAAAATGTCCTTAGTTAGAATAGTTAATAGTTAAATTTAATTTTGTTAAATGAACTTTGTCAAAGCAAAGTTTTACATTAGAAGATGCATGTCTTTTAAAAATTTATCAATATTACTTTAAAATAAAAAATGACACCGTCTTATGAGAATTATAAGATTTTATCTGACATTTGTTGTAAGAATTTTACTACCGACATTTCATTGTTAAAATGTTTTACTGGAATATAATTGTACCCTATAATTGTACCCTAAACTGGAGCAAATAGTACCCTAAAATTTTTATTTTGTTATGCTATATTCTTATGCTAGGAAGTATCTACAAAAATCTAGAAAAACTATTACATACCGTAACTTTGCGCTAAAAGTTGAAATTTTTTGCTTTGTGTTTCTAAAAATTGGCTTAAAACGTCTCTAATATTTATAAAAACTTGACGAAAATTTTATTAAAAAACCGTTATTATAAGAACTTATTTTTTTAACCATTAAAGAAGGATTTTTCATGGGTGTCTAAATTATGTCCTATGTTAACCGGGGTTTTGGCAAGCCTTATAAAATTTGAAAAAAACTTTACCGTTTATATGAGTTTTGCTATATAAACTCTTTTTATTATACTGTTTAAAGGAAATTTTAACGAGAGTTTAAAGACAAATAAAAATAAAACAATAAAATCAGATTTACTATTTTTTGGTAAATAAATAATTTAACATAATAAAAGAAACATAGCCACATTAAAAACTAAAAACACAAAATTTCCTTTAATGCAGGCAATTATACATCTTTAAAATAAAAAATAAAAGTTAAATAAACAAACTTGAAGAAAAATGAAAGTCTAATAGAGGTACTTAAAGTTTATAAAATAAAGACTCCTTGATGTAAAACAATTACTGTCTCTTTCATAAAAATCTTTTTGTGTCTTAGACCAGCATTTAATATTTTTATCATTGGCTTCACATAAGCACTGTTTTCCTTGACATTTGTAATTTGTCCGGGAAAAAGTTCACATGTCTCAAATTTTCTAAGTTTGGCTTCTCATTCTTATTCTTTTTCTCGACAAGTTTATTTTTAATGCTACTCGATGATTTTGAGCTAGAACTGTAATGGCACTCTTTTGGATCTTCTTTAGATTGAACTTTTAACTTATGCTCTTCGTGTTTTTGTTCAGTTTTTTTTTCTTTGCATGCTTTGAGCCAATATCAAAACTGTTATCAAATTTTTCTAAATCTTCTGTGTCAACACTTTTCCCTGCAGGAACAGAAAACTTTTTTTTAGTTTCTGGAGACTGCAAGGATTTATATTTTTCGCGCTTATGCCATTTGCACTTATGCCAGTTTGCACTTATGAAATTCGCGCTTATTCAGTCGTCCCGTTATTACTAATTAGCAATTAAAATTAATAAAAACGATAAAAATTTATGTAATAACTATGCTTATATATACAATTTGCTTCAGATTTTAAAAAGTATTGTTTTTAGATGATTAAAGACAGTTGTAGTTATTTTGCACATTGTGCAAAGTTCCCGATTTAGTCCAAAATCCCATTTTAGTCCAAATCCATAATCCAAGTCAATAATCCCGATTTAATCAAAAATAGTAATTTATTTACAAAAATAGTATTTTTTATTCATCTATACTGACAATCGAATTAAAACAGAATAATTCAAACTATTATTATGATGAGCATTTTACGCCATTTACTCACCTTGGGGTCTAATTCTAATGTGCTTAAACAGATAAAAGTTGCAAGAAATTATTTGCATGGCTTTTTTCTATGTTTAAGTAAAGTTACTTGTGTAGAAAGGAATTTTGTTAAAATGACTATTTTACACTATTTTCGAATTAAAACTAGAATATAGAGCTGACTTCAAAAGTATTTTGAAGTTGTAATTCAAATTTTCAACTGCTAGAGAGTAAAATATCTTTGACTTGGGTTGTGCAATGTTACCCACGGTTGTGCAAAGTTACACGAAGTTACGGTATTGAAACTATTAGAAATACGGAATATATTTTACGGAATATATTTTATTCTTATTTTTCAATATTCTAGCACATATTTTTATTTTTTATTTATTTATTGTAATTTACTAGAATTTATTGTAATTTATTGTAATTTATTAGAATTTATTGTCATTTATTGGCATTTATTAGAATTTGTATATATTCTAAACAAGTTGTAAATTTTTAACGACTTTTAAAAATAGTATACGTACAAATCTAAAGTAAATACCACCAACATTATAATAATATAATGGTAATAATAATAAAAACAGCATCAGCAATAATAACGATAATAATAATAATAATAACAATAATAATAATAGTAATAACAATAATAATAATAATAATAATAATAATAATAACAATAAATAGTATAAAAATTGTAAAAATAATAAATAATTATAAATAGGTATAATAAGAGAATAGTTATAATAACAATAAATCAAAATCAGTGGTTTAAAGAACAATTTCTTTCTAAAAATTAGTTATAAAAGCAGTGTTTTAAACTACTAATATACTCAATTTATATTAATGACAATTGAAGACTGTTCCAATATTATACACTTTGATGTTGTGGATTTTAGACCATATTTTATAAGAAAATGGTCGAAACTAGGTTAGTAGCAAAAACCCTAATATAAGTAAGAATTTATAATGAGATTATTATTCTTATTTTATTATCATAAGAGTTATAACTTTTATAAAAATTAACTCCTTAAAAAATTACGGTAAGTTATAGTACCTGCGTTTGTTTTTCAGAGCACTAACTATGAAAAACAAGAAGTATAAAATACATTGTTGCTTATGCAAAGCAGTTTTTAATAATAACAAT